ATATATATATATATATATATATATATATATATATATATATATATATATATATATATATATATATAATACTACATGCACGTACATGCACATACACTGTACGCATACGTATTGTACGTATATGTACGCATACGTATTTATACATATTTATATGGTGACAGTCGAAATAGCTAGACACCACCAGAAGCATCTGCTGCGGAGCTGCAACGAAGCCTGCGTATTAGCGTGAATAACAAATATGAATATAAATATGGAGATTCTTCACTACTGAAAATTCTAAAACCTGTCTCATCATCAGGCTCTCTGCACACGGTGGAAATTGCTGTTTGTTTTTTATTTCATGTGGTATTCTGGAGCATAAATTATTGGATTTTAGGAAACAACTGCGCGCATATATTTGTTTTTTTTAGCTGTATCTTTGTTTCTATATGGAGGATTATATGTCGTTCATGTGTCAACCGGGCCCCCTACCCCTTGAAGCGGTGCATGCGATCTAGGGGGGATAAAGAGGAAGAATAATAAAACTTGTGAAGGAAAATAAATGACGAAAACAAATCGTTAAAATAAAACTTTATATTTATTTCTTACTTACAGACACCCCGTGTATGGCGGCTACCTGAACGCAGAAGAGCCCCAAGAACGCAGCAAGACCATACATACGCATGCTTGTTAGTATCAGTGTTGCGCTTCTTTCGTTTTTCTTTCGGTTGTTTGGTTTGTGAAAATTCATAATTGGCAAAATGATATCTTTTTTGCTGTACCTATGAAGAAAGAAACCCAAAACACCTCTGTTTCCTCTCGTATTCCTCCTCTTTCCGTCGGCGGCGGCTGCATATTCAACTTTTGAACTCGAAACCCAGGGGTTTTCAGCTGCATGTATTTGACATATTTCATCAAAAACACGATATATTTGAATTATATTTGAAAGCTTAGAGCCTCAGAAGTCCACAGGCTACGCTGTTGATATTTTTTTTTTTACAACTTTTTCTCATCGTTTGCAAGTCAAGATGCAAGACGGTGACGAAGTTCAGCTTTTTGGGTATTTGTGGCTGCTGTGGGATATCACAAAACTCCTGATAGCATTTTCTCCTCTGTTAGTTATCGCGGCTATC